ACAGGAGAAATCGTAGCATCAGCTAGATGAACCAGAACTAGAATGACAGCCTTAGAAGAAACACCCAAACTGGCAAAGTGAAAAAACTCAGAAACAAGAATGGTCAAGGACAGGAAGTTTCTCATCTCAAACTGGGACCTCAGTTGCATCAGAAGTCAGAGCAGGATGCACAAAGGAGAAAAAGTGAGAAATCTGGAAAATGAAATACTCAGTACGGCAGAAGACTGCCACTCTCCAACTTCTAATCTTCCCAAACCTGATTAGCTGCTAAAGGTAATGCTGTCCCCTCCATTAAAAGTGGATGCTTGGGGGCGCCTGGGTGGCTCAGATGGTTAAGCGTCTGCTTTCGGCTCAGGTCATGCTCCCAGGGTCCTGGGATCGAGTCCCACATCGGGCTCCCGGCTCAGCGGGGAGCCTGCTTCTCCCTCTGACCCTCACCCCTCTCATGCTGTTTCTCGCTCGCTCTCTAAAAAATAAATAAAATCTTTAAAAAAAAAAAGTGGATGCTTGGGTGAAGTGAAGTGTTAATTCTTATGCTTGATTTCAGAGCTCAAACAGAACAGCAATCTCCTAGAAGGGAAGGGGGAAAGTAGCTCCAGCTCACCATCTCAGGAAGGATCAACCTGAAAACATAAAAATAAACTAGATGAGGTGAGAGTGTCCAAAAAGTAGAAGCAGGAAATCCAGCATGGCCCAAGACATGAAGGGAACAAAGACAAATGGAAGGAGTCTGAAAGGAAACATGGCAAAAAGGATCAAAATTCCAAATATGGGGGCTCCTGGGTAGCTCAGTCGGTTAAGTGTCTTGATCTCATGGTCCTGAGTTTGAGCCCCACGTTGGGCTCCACACTAGGTTTGGAGCCTACTTAAAAAAAAAAAAAAAAAAGTCCAAATCTGCACCTGAGCCAAAGACACCTGAAGAATCCAGCCTGTAAGTTCAGTACTGTAAGTATTCCACTCTCCCAGCTGATGGATAAGGTTAAAATGAGGGGGAAGATTATACAGAATAGACCTCCACATCCTGCACTTTTTCCTGCTCTCTAGCTACCCTGAAACATTCCTGAACAAATCGAATATCTATCCAAACAAGACAAAATATCCAGACAAACTCACCATCTCTTGGCAAGGGGAAAAAAGCCTCAAAGGACTTTTAGAACTACAGGAAGAAATTTACAAATTGGCATTGCTGTAGGTGATTTCAACACAGTCCAATTTTTCATAGGTCAAATAAACCAAAAAATAAAAATAAAAACAAAATGATGAAAAAGCAGGACTTAACAAACATATATAGGTATAAGGTTCTATAACCTTATACCCAACTGTTAGAAAATAAACATTCTTCTCAAGCATACATGAAGCATATAGAAAACCAATACATACTGGTACATAATGAAAATCTCACTGAATTTCAAAGAATATGTATAATGTTGTTCCTAGGTGCTGACCATATACAATTAAGTAAAAAAAAAAAAAAAACCAATAGGGAGCGTTTGGGTGGCTCAGTTGGTTAAGGGTCTGCCTTTGACCCACGTCATGATCCTGGGGTCCTGGGATTGAACCGTGCATTAGGCTCCCTGCTCAGCAGGGAGTCTGCTTTTCTGTCTCCCTCTGCCCCCCTCCTCGTGTGCACACACGCTCACGCTCTCTCTCGTAAATAAATAAATAAAATCTTAAAAAAATCAATAATGGAAGATGAATTTTAAAAACACAAATAGAAAAAAACTTCTAAATATTTCATGGGTCAGAAGAAACCATGCTGAAAAAATTTTTTAAAACTATTAAGAACTGAATGATATCAAAGGTACCATATAAAAATTTGTGGGATACAACAAAAGTTAACTTAGAGGCAAATCTATAGCCTTAAACACTTATACTAGGAAAAGAAGAAAGGCTGAAAATTAGTAAGTAAATAGGCCAATTTGTTAAGCTAGAAAGCAATCAACAGAGTAAACCCCCAAAAAGTACAAATAATAAAGAAAAGAAACTAATGAAGTAGAAGAAAGGTAACAGAAGTATTAACAAAGGGGAGGCTGGGTGGCTCAGTCAGTTGAGTATCGACTCTTGATTGCAGCTAGGGTTGTAATCTTGGAGTCGTGGTATTGAGCCTTATGTTGGGCTCCGTGCTCAGCATAGAGTCTGCTTAGGTTTCTCTCTCTCCCTCTCCCTCTACCCCTCCCCCCTGCTTGTACACATGCTCATGCTCTCTCTCTGAAATAAATAAAATCTAAAAAAAAAAGAGGATTTAACAAAGTTAGAATTCTTAGAAAACACTAAAAAAATAAATGCCTGACAAGACTGACGAAGGGTAAATAAAACAAAACAAAATAGGAAGCCCCAAAAGAGACCAAGGTATGTAAGGACATCCTCAGGTAACAGATGTAACAATGCAGATCTGAGGAGTAAGAGGGACAACTAAATAATACTGAAATTACCTATATGGAAAAACTAAATTGGATCCTCACATCATATACAAAATCAATTCAAGATGGATTAGTGATGTACATATGAAAGACAAACTTTAAAATTTTTAGAAGAAATTAGAGCAGAAAACTACTGTTTTTGTGCCCTGCCAGAAAAGGATTTCTTAAACAAGCATACCAACCAAAAAAGAAAAGTGTGAATATTTTGACTATGTGGAAACCAAGAACTTCTGTCTATCATAAAACATAATAAAGCAAATCAAAAAGATAAGCTACAAACTGGAAGATATTTACAAAACACAAGCTGATTAAAGATTAGTATTTAAACTATATGAGAATGTCTATAAAAAACAGGATAAAAAAACACAAGTAGTCAAATGGGCAAAAAACTTGAACAGGAATTTTATAGAACAAGGAAACTTGTAAGGCCAATTAGTATATGAAAAGATGCAGAATCTCATTATTCATCAGTGAAATACAAGTTAAGACCACATGAGATGTTATTTTTAAACTTACTAGAAAAATAAACTCACTAGAATGATAAAAACTAGAAATGTTGACAGTACCAAATAATGGCCAAAAAAAAAAAAGTAAAGAAGGTGGTGGCTCCTATAGAATGCTACTAGGTGTTTAAATTGGTAAAATCCTCCTGGTAGGTGTTAAAATTGGTACAACTGCTGGAAAACAATTTGGCATTATCACATAAAGTTGAAATTTTGCACGTCCTTCAGTGAGCTTCTAGGTACACAGTATAGAAATTTTTGTACTTGTGCGCCAAATGTAAGCATACTTAAAAATAACAAAAAAAAGAAAAAAGAAAAATACTCAAATATCCACTGGTAGAAAAATGGTTAAATGAATTAGGCTAATTCACACAATGGAACATTATACAGCAGTGAGAATGAATGAACTATAGCTGTAGGCAACAACATGAATGGGTCTTAGAAACATAATAGTGAATGAAAAAAAAATACAAATGGAGTTCTGAGTACTAACATCTTCCTCTCACTCAGTCCCACCTCAAAGATTTAACATTCTACACTGAGGTCATCAAGAAATGTTTCCAACTCTTAAACACAAAGAAATAAATGAGTTCTCTTGGCAGTTATCATGACCTCATCTTTTCCCATGCATTTCCTTTGAAAATACAACAATTCCATGATTGAGAAAGAAATACGGAGACGTTGTAGATCCTGAGTCTCAAATGCTTACACAGTCAACAAACAACTGAATGAAACCCACTGAAGAAATGCTGAGGTCCAAAGGGAAATTAGATGACAAACTGTCAGTCTTCCAAGAAGTACACTGTGAATCTAATCGAAACATTTCTGCACAAACTAAGAAAACTTAGTATGGAAATACTTCTGCTATATTTCTACACTCTGGATAAAGCATTTTATTTTGTATGTGGTGCAGCAATAACTACACAGTCCAGAAATAAGTCTCCAGCACTATTTTGTTATAAACTTGGATGTGCACACTGAAATTTTTCTATGTATTCTTTTATACTTGAATGTTTTCTTTGGAATGTATAAAGATTTGTAAAATAGGTTTTCCTCTATAATAAAATACCATTTGTGCAAAGTTTACAAAGGCTATAAACAATTATTAAACTCAAAACAAAAAAACACATTTGTGGTATTATAATTTTAAAAAGAGATAAAAAAATTCAGAATAGCAGTTACTTCAGGGGTTGGGGAAAGACAGGAACATGCAGTTACAGAGGTGCTCACAGGTAGCTCTTCAACTGTATTGGTACTGACCTAGTTCTTAAGTGGTTGGTTCCCAAATGTTTGTTTTTATTATTAACTTCCACATGTTACACATATTCTGGCATGTTCCAATTACAGAATTTTTAAAAATTTCAAGAATGCATGGAAGGCAAGGAAGTAGATAAAGTGCAGATCACTAATTCATCAAGTGTGATGGTAAGGGAGCATGTCTATAGCCTGTGCAGGAAAAATAGGAAAGGACAAAGCTTTCACACAGATGATGTGATTAGTCTTCCAAAAAAACACAATTCTTCCTCTGAACAATGGATGAAGGATCTAAGGAAAGGTAAAGATATTAATTCATTTGGAGGTAGATTAAAAGAAAATTGAGGAACCTTATTAGTCAATTAGAAAGATAACTGATGATAATAAAGAAGATAAACAGGCACAGGATTTGTTATTTTGAGTACATGCTCCCGATAATCAGTAACTGCAAATTTAAACTGCAAAACACAACATAGTTCAAAAATGGTACCTTTTTGCCCTAAAAGGGAAGGAATAATGCAAATAAAATAATCAAATTCAACATACAATTAGTTCCCATACTTCATTTAATAACATAAAGTTGTGTGACACTTAAAATACAATGTACTGCTATATATATTTTTTAATCTGGCATTATAATAACACTGTATGAGTAGGGAGGTACTATTCTCATCTTACAGATGAGGAAATTGTGCCTCAAAAGTGTTAAAAGTCTATAGTCTTATTTTTTATGACAATGTAGGTGTAGAGAGGTATAATTATCAATAAATGGAGTTTGTGCTAGATATAGTCTTAGTTAAAAAAGAAGTTGCTCATCACTTACTATGTACCAGGAACTGTGCTAGACACTGGGGATATAAAGATGAGTAAGACACGATTCCTTCTTTCAAGGAGCTCATAGTCTAGTGAGGAGACAAACCTGTAAACAAATAAATAGCTTTCAGTGTTACAGTTACTAAAACAGATGCAAAATGTAAAGTAGTACATCTGGGGCACACAAGAAAAAGTGGGTAATTCAAACTACAGGAATCAGGAAAGGGTTCACAGAAGATAACCAATCTTAGAATGAACTGTGTCTTGAAGTATAATTCTTTAAGAGAAAACTAGAGAAAGCATGGAGCATTCAGAGAGCTATTGGAATGGCTGGAAAATGGAAAGTAAGGACAGTGACAAGTGATAAGGCTAACAGGCTAACAGAGTATTCTAAATTGTAGAGGATTCTATGGAATAGTTTATATGGCATTCAAAATATAGCAAGCATGGTGGTTTATTGGGTTTTTTTTTTTAAAGATTTTATTTATTTATTTGAGAGATAGAGAATGAGAGAGAGCAAGCGCACAAGTGGGGTGAGGGCCAAGAGGGAGAAGGAGAATCCCCGCTGAGCAGGGAGCCCGACGTGGGACTCCAGGATCATGACCTGAGCCAAAGGCAGTCGCTTAACCAACTGAGCCACCCAGGCGCCCTAAGCATAGTGGTTTAAAGTTTATCATAAGGTAACTGATAGACACCAGTGGGTTTCAATAACAGAGAATCACGTTCGAGAAGAGTAACTTTGGCAGGAGTGGGGTTAGATTTAAAATACTGAGTTTATTTGAACCAGAGCAGGTAGCATGAGGGAAAAAACTCAGGAAATATATAAGATCTTTGAGTAGATGGTTTTGGGACAGCTGATGGTTAGAAAGGATTCTGAACAACTAAAATTTTCCACTTCACTCTCTGGGTGGATGAAGGTGCCACAACCAGGATAGGGAGCAGAAGAGGAGCAAATTGTGGGAGACAATACAGTACAAAGTTTAAGAGCCAACTCCTCAGTCATACTATTTTGATTTCATCTATCCTACCACTTAACAGCTGTGTGACCAACTATGGCAAAAGGAAAAAACAAAGTCTGAGTTTTAACAAACTTTTGAGCAAATTGGTTATTCATCCAAATGAATTTAGGTCATAAACTATGCCCACAGTTATATGTAAGCTGATTTTGTCCAGCTCAAGCCTTTAAAAATGCCACAGAATTGTTTAAGTTATTATTCAACTGCAAAGAATAGAGAGTCCTGAATATAGATAATTAACTATGCTTCCAGTCTTCCAAGGTTATAGGCCTATTGAATCCCCACTTAGAAGATGTATCTTAATTGCCTGCTTACTTCAAGATGGCCTTTTTTTCTAAAGATTTTGTCAGAGAGAGAGAGAGCGAGAGAGCGTGCGTGCACGCAAACACACAGCAGGGGGAGGGGCAGGCGGAGGGAAAGCAGGCTCCAGGCTGAGCAAGGAGCCAGATGAGGGACTGGATCCCAGGACCCCAGGATCATGACCTGAGCCCAAGGCAGATGCTTAACCGACTTGAGCCACCCAGGCATCTCAAGATGGCTTTCTTAAGTAAAGAAGACTTCTACTTTCAGAAGCAATATTAAGAAAAAAGAACAACAAATCTGATCCATTTTGCATGCTATGCATAGGATCAAGGCTTGGAAAAGCCAGAAAACTACCATCACATATCTATCTGCCTGGATCAATTTCACACGTAACTGACTGCCTAGTCTGTAAAGTGGGCATGGCAAGGACACAAAAATGGTGGAAGACAAAAGTCCCAACTTCAATACCTAGTCTAGTTTTGAAGACAGTATTAATACATAGTAAACATTTCAGTAACAAGACAGGATGGTACATAGTCAGGTGCTAGAGATGTTTCATCTAATGAATGTGGAACTTGGAAGGTCAGAAAGCCCACATTTAAGCAAAGCTATTTATCAACTGCACAAAATTTAAAACTCAATGAAAGTGGCCAATATATAGATGAAAAAAGCAGCTTCCCTGCCCCTAAAATATCCAAGACTTAGCAACTCTAAAGCAGAAAATAAGTATTTCATAAAAGCATAGACTACAAAATAAGGGACTTAATTTTAATAATACAGGAATGTTACTTCCATATAGATATCATTTATAAAAAGGTATTGTCGGTCATTTCAATTCATTTATAAAATGGGACCGTTAACGAGAGGGTGACTAACTTACACTGATTTGCCAGGACTATCCACGTTTTAGTTCTGCTCCCACAGAAACCTCTCACTTCGGGGCACACCAGGGCATTTGGTAACCTTAGTAAACAATATAATGGCTCTGTGTGGGCAGCTTTTTTGATGTATCTCAAAGAGATTTTTCTCGTAGAATCCTGTTACAATAATAAAGCACAATCCTGTTAAATTTTGTATTTCGGGATGACCTAAATATTCAGAAAGGAAAAACCAACTTTACAGGGACTACAACTCATCAGCAGGCTTCAATATCACACCACTAGGTCTACATGTTGGGGGAAAGGAAAAGGAAGGAGCAAGAAGTTTTCTCAATACCAGTGTCTTTTAGCCCTCAGAATGGTTTACTTTTACCAAACTCCAAATAATTACCACTGTGGTCTCCTAAGGATCCAAAGACGTTTCCAACTTCCTGAATAGCTTCTTAAAACTCAGGCCCTGTTCTTCCCCACACCACACCATCATCCTTACTCTTATCTCTGCATGTATGCCAACAACTCCATGGCCTTGTATCCCAGTGGCCAATCTCATTCCACTGACCAGCAGGGCTGTCCCCAAAGCTCTACCACCACACGTTTCCTTTACAATCTGTCCACTTAACTCAGGGTCTCCAGTCTCTCCAGCTCTTCTCTGTCCTACCAGCACCTAGTGGCAATATAATCACTACTCTCTGTTTTCATAGCACTTTGCAGTTTCAAAATTTCACAAACATTTCTGTTTGGAAGAGAAGCTAGCTGACTTCTTAAAAAGTTTACTTGTCCACACTGACCTAAGTATCACTGATTGATCCTCTTAAATGCAAAACACAGGAACATTACCCTCCTGATAATTTACAAGTGCCACTGGGTAAAAAAAAAAAAACCAACAAACCCAAACCAAAAAAAAACCCACTTTTAAACTCTGTCATTCCAGTGACTTATAAAGCACTTGCAGTATCTACCACACAAAGGACAAATAAAGATGGGCATCTACAGGTACTTTGTAACTTCTGACTATGGTTTGGTATCTATCTTAATCTAAAAATGCCTATCTAATCACAAGTTCTAATAAACTCACCTTTCCTACATCCTTCTGTACTTTCAATTTTAAAGTTCGTTTTAGTGAACTATATTATGGCACTTCACAGAAGGAGCACAGGAAAATTTTTTTTAATGAAAAAAATGTATGTATCTTCAAAATGCCAAATTTCCTAAATCACTATCTCCAACTCTTATTATTTATCTCCACTCAATTTCAGATTTTCAACCAGAGGAGGTAAATACATTAATTTTCCCAAACCTTTTGGTTCTGTTTTCACTCATCCTCCAATTTTTACCTCTACTTTCCCATCAACACAATCTAGACCTCTTTTGACTTTTTTCTTCAAGATATATCTTGTATCTCCTGTTTCATAAATTCACTCTCCCTATTTTTAAATCTCACTTTCTTGTGTACAGTGAGTTTATATTCAACTGTATCTTTTAAGTGTTATTCCTCTCAATTACACAGATAATCTGCTTTACCATAAACTGATCTGAAAATTTTCTTTTCATTAATGTTATCTACTGCCACTTCAAGCTAACAAGCGAAAATAAATAAAAATCTTAACACTGAAATGTATCATACACATCACAATTTTAATTTCCTGATAAGCACTAAATCTTGATCCATCTGTAGATTCCCTTTTTATTGCCAATTTTAATCATTTCCAAACTATGTGAACTCCTTGCTCTCAAAATTATTCTATGACCAACCTAAACATTGGTTATATAGTTATTATAAACTTCTTTCCCTTCCTGAAATCAAAAACATTTGCACTATTATTGTATATCCTTACTGAGACAGTCAAAAGCCTTGCTGATTTTAACCTATGCCTCCTCAAATTACCATGGCACACACCCTAATGAACTGCTGCCCATTAAATTCCTACAATTTACTTCCTCATTGCTCTTCACATAAAGTTTACTCTATTGACAGAAAATCATGTCCAATAGTCAAGCTATTTAACTCAATTCTCTTTCTCATTCTAGTTAGTTCTAATCAAGTTACTTCTAGATTCTGGTTACTTCAAATTCCATCTACTTCCCTGCCTTCAAATCAGCCTGCATCGCACCCAGCAAGAGCCCAGTCACAGCACAAACATGATCACAGTAACTTCCTTTTCTTATCAAGGTGCTTGCCCTCAATTGTTGAGAAATAGTTACAAAATAGTTACCTATCCAAAGCAAAACTAACCACCCATCCTTTCAAACAAATGTGTTTCATATAAACTTCAGCCAGCAAAACTTCTAGGGTCTGCTGGCCTATACAGAATGCAAAGTCCCTCCAAAAAAGGTACTAAATAATTAATAGAATTTGGACAGTAGACTAGAGGCTCAACTAGCAATAACGTTGACACACCGAAATAAAGGCCAGTCCAGAGGATCAAATAGCAAAGATATTTATATTCTGAGCTGAAAGAAGCGCCAGGTTTCCTCTTTTCCAAGTCCGAGGTTAACAATTTTTTAAAAAAATTACACTTACTGCAAACTTAATACTCTAAATATCTAGTAACATTTGAAGTTACAGGAAACACAAGTCAAGCCCTGTCAACAACTAAACTGTCACTTGTAGAAGCCTTTCAGTCTGTTTGGTGGTCCAATTATTTCTAATTAAGTGGGGGAAGTAATAAACTATTGAAAATAAGAAACTATCATTTACCGAAGTCTAGTTTGAATTTGGATTTGAATTTCTACTCCCATGTTTACTAAGAGGCAGCATAATAGTGGTTAAGAGTGCAAATTCTGCAGCCAGACTGCCGAGATGCAAATCCTGGCTCCACCTGACTACTACATTCAACTTTTGGCAAGCTTCTTTACCTCACAGTGCCTCAGTTTTTAAATCTATAAAATGAACTGATACGTACCTTATG